TGTTGGTAGATGGCACTAATGGATGAACTTGGTGCCTGTGTTTGACAGCTGGTAAAAGCATTAATTACCCCATGCTTGAAGGCCCAGGCACAGCTCTTTTCAGGCTGTGGGACGTCTGTGTTGTGCCTGCAGGGTCATCTCGTGGCCAGGTCCAGGCTCTGTGTCGGACACCTCTATCAGAAGAAAGATACAAATGCCAACAGGAATGGCTTTTATTCCCGTCTTTGTGGTAGAGGAATCCGAATGACACGCGATCCCTCAGCCCTGGCCTTCTTGGTGTTCCCGTATCGGGACCGAGTCATGTTTCTGCTGATGCGGTGTCTTCTGAGTAGTCCTGTGGTGTAGATTGCCCTGTGTTTCACAGGAAAGCGGATGAATGATATCAAGTCATTGAGCTCATAAGTAGCACACTGGCAACCCGCCACTAAAATATAAATACATTAAATGTACTAAAGGAAATGTTCATTCTGTTGTTTAGCATTGGACATGCCCCAGTTAGGTAAATTTAATCTTCTTGAGGGTTGTTGTGTTACAGCTGAATGAGATAGACCCTTATCTCATTACCGATCTTTCTGTCATTCAGGTTTTGTGCTCTGACATTCACGGTGTGCAGTGCGCTTGCCCAGTGGCGGCGCTGTGAGTATTCCCCAAGGGAGAAGGAGATGTGTAGGGGGTCTGTTAGCACATTGCAAGCCCAGACCCTTTATCTCTGACGTCTTCACTGCCCTAAATCCCTTGTCAGTCACAGTGCTAAAGATTGCGCCTCTTTTTCCGTAGGAATGTACAAAATGGTCGCTTTATGTGTGTTAGAAAATGTCTGAAATCCATAATTGTGGCATGTGTTTTCTTCCCTTGTATCTCATATGTTAACTTTTGCAGTTCTTTTGTAAATCTCTTATCCACATGCCCATTTCCTATAGAGGAATCTCCCACTGGCCCCAGGTGCTAACCATAGCCCTAGAGCCAGCTGAGTGCGATGAAGAGGGGTCTTTCCAGAGTTCTCCTGGGTGCTGGGTCAGGCCTGATCCCTGTGATCCCACAGCATGAACTCTCCTGGCTAACCCTGCCCCTGGGGAGCATTGCCAAATGGCACTGCACTCACAGCCCCTCTGCACCAGCTTAGCTCCCCTTGCAATTATACAGTGAAAGAGAAAGGTAAGGCAGAAGAAGGAAGCCAAAGGGATAGATGAATAGAGAGAATCTGAGCTGCTTACAAAGACAGATGATGCTCTATATGGAATGCGAGTACTTAAAAAAATAAGACATTTGCTGTGTATTTTATAGATAAAATGTTATTGTATTGAGCTGAAAGATATATGTTTCTTCTATCACATCTGAACTAATCAGCGTAGGCTTTTAGAAGAAGTCTGTAATTACTCTGAGCGTGTCATTACTTAGATGTGAAATGAATGATATTGCTCCATTTTATTACCTCTAGTGATATAGCCATTTGTATCATAAATTCATTGACCTCATCTTAAATGATCAATCCTGTAAGACAGACTTGATTCATTAATTGTTAAGTGACATTTTTTCTCCACCAGTAATTTCCTCCTCGTTGTAGGAATGTTTTTCTGCATTTTAGTGTGCTATTCTAAGGTGTCCTATTACCTGCATACAACATGCACATTTTATGCTTGTGTCTTAAATAAGCCACATAGAGTGATTTCTTATATAGATAAACAGAAACAGAAGTAATGAAACACATAGATGTGGCAGATACACATCTCTCACTAATGTTAACTTCAACACTTTGGAATGCTGCATAAAATCATGATAATTATGAGATATTTGGTCCATCTAGGATATTCAGAGGAACAGAATTATTGCCTTTAATTTCTGTGGCTTTAATTGATGTAATCTAGTGATAAAATACACAGAATGGTCTGTGATCAGTGCATGACTTCATGAGTTTCTTGTGAATTATTGAAAACAGGAGAAATCAGTAGAGAATTTCTAAGCAGGATTTCTAAATATTTTACCCAAGAAGAGAAAATATTTGTTTAGCTGCGAATGACATAGGGGTCCACTTGAGATAAACAAATCAGCACAGCAATAGAACAGGAAAGTATTTCAGTGAATTGATCAACTGCTAACTAATAAAATTAAATGATTAGGAAAAATGCCACCAGTGTTTTAGGTTTGGTTTTGCTTTTTGCCGTTATTTTTCTTTTGGCCTGTTTAGTTGAAGTCACCAATGGAGGCTATTCCTAGAGCAGTGAGGGGGCTGTATCTTCCTTCATATTTCTCAAGTGCTTCTTTGGCACCAGGTGTACAAGTTGAGAATTTGTTTCCTTCCTTTGTTCTGAGCGAAGGTGAGGCCTTGGCTGCAGGTCCCAGGACATGATTAGAGTGATACGGCGTAGCGGACATGGTGGAGATGGGCTGATGGTTGGACTAGATGATCTTAGTGGTCTTTTCCAACCTTAATGATTCTATGCATCTGTTCTATGACTACGGCAGAGGTAGCTGCCCCTGGATCCTGCTCCATCCCATTCAGCAGCTGCCTTCGGGACTGGCCTCTAGGCTTCTCCCCTGCAAACAGGCGTGATGGTGGGCCAGGGTGGACTTCATCCTATCCCAGCCTGCCTGGAGGACCCCTGCCTTTCTCCACAGCCCGTGTGGTAGGAGCATGCCCTGCAAAAGCAGCAGAGTGGCTTAGGTCCTGATTCCATACATGCAAAATAGATAGTGTTTTTTACTGTAGGAGCGAGCTTTGCATCAAAAATGGCTTGAAGGTAAATCCAGCAGCATCGAACGGCACCTTATTAACTCATGGCATAGACACACAAATTCCTCTTTTGTCCGCTTGGAAGGCTGTGGCAAGCCAAAAAAATTCAGGAGGTCAATTACAAGATATTTCCATCAGCTCATCCTGGGATGGGGTGGTGTTGATTTGCCAAGCGGGTGGCACAGTCCATCCTGTGCCAAATACCCGGGATGGTTCAGTGCCCATGGCCACTTCTGCAAGGGGTTGCAAAGCCCCAAGAGCCGAGGGAGAGCTGGCGCCTTGCAAAGCCATGTAAAACCTCATTTGTAACACATAGAGGGACATTCTTCCTTGTGTGGGTCATCATGGGGGGAACATGCCCACAGGAAGGCTGCAGAAGCACCGTGGGACTAGGCGCCCTGTGATTTATGTCCCGTTATGCTTCATCCTTGTGCCCAACCTGGGCCCAGCGTTGCTTTGCTTCAGCAGTGACTTCATAGCTGCTATTTCTCCAGTAATTATTTAGTTTGATTTAAAACTTGGGATAAAATCTTCCTGGTAGAGAAAGGGAGTGTGTGTGTAAATGGGGTGTGGAGGCAGGGAAGGAATCGAATAGCAACTAGACTGGGTAACCCAAATGTAGCAGAGCCAAAATTGGCGGTCTGATAGTGTGCTGGGGGTGTGTGCACGTGCCTATCTATGTATGTATATATATAAGATATATTACTGAAAACTCAAAAATGTCACCACTGTTTATATTACGGGAAAGCTGAGAGTTAAATGAGATGGGTAATCAGATGCCCGACATATGTTGTTTTGAATTGTTTATATGGCCAGTCGTTATTAAAATTAATTATCCTTTTAATGCAGACTTTTCACAATCATATTCCTTTTTCCGTACAAAGGATACAGTCATTCAAAACGGGCTAAAACTGGCTGTTTGGAAAAGGCAGAGCAAATGATACCACAGTGTATTCTGACATGGTCATAGGCTCAATGTGCAGATAGGAAGCACCACAAATCTCTGCCGGTGGAGTATTTTCAGAGCTAATGTAAATGATAAAAATGCTTTTTTTCTTTTTTTCTTAATTTTTTTTTTTTTCTGTGTGCATAAAATTCTGTCAAAAAAGTAAGGCACTGAAAATTCTGACATCTGTTTATCTGTTTATAGCTATGGCAAGATTACTCATATTAATTCTTGTTTAAAATGCCATATGAAGGAAAGGCATTTGTGCAAACAAGAGTCATATTTGAATTGTAGATCATGTCTTCACCATCTGTGAGAGCTGTTGGTGTTGCAAAATTAATGTGTTAATGAAATCACAATAATTTCTCTGAAGTAATGGATTCTGAAGCCTGGAATGACTATTTTTTGAACTTTGGTGTCTAGTGGTTTACAACTGGGAAAACCTTTCACAGCTTAATTAGTTCTGCAGCCTTACTTTTTTAAAAAATTGGCTATGCCTTTACCACACCAATAGTAACACAGAAAAAGATTAAATGGAAAGGAGATGAATTAAAAAAAAAATAGAAAAAAGAAAAAGCCTGCAATGCAAACTTTTTGCTGTAGTATTTGAAAAGTTGCTAAAATGCCCTTTTTGCCAAGAAGCTTTACTCAGAGTGGCCAGTATGCAAAAGGGGACAAACAGCTTGGAAACATCATGAATTAGGACTATTTAAATGTTACACAAATTTTCTGACTATTTCCAAGTTGCTCCTTGGAATAAGGGGCAGGGGACGAATGCTGCTTTTGCTTTGTGATGCCACTTTAAAATCCCACACCCTTTCCAACTTAGTGTTTAATGTGGTTAATAAAGTACAAAATATTACAGTTTATGATGTAGTGGCAATGTTTTGCACTCATTTCCAGTGGCTTACAGTGTCTTTTTTCTCTTGTCTTATTTACTGTGTAGTATTGCATCAGAGATGGTAACAGTGTGTTTAGTTTACCACTGAGGAGTAATCACAGCCATGTTCATATGGATTTTTTAATGTATACATATGTGTGTTATAACAGTTTATGCCAGCTGAGGAGTGTTCACTGTGGCATGGCTATAAAATATGTAACATACTGCATAAGACAGAATTGCGACCATAGTAGCCAGAAAAGGAATTATTATTCAATTGTCCAATGTTTGGGGTGAAAAAATGTTAGCTTTCACAAACGTAACTTTTCTTTATGCTATAAAAATAATGCATTTAGGAAGCAACTGAAAAATGACTTTTAAAATAACACTATGAAGAGAAGATTGCTTTTCTTACCTGATTTGATTTTGTTACTGTGTTGTAGGTATGTGACTGGTGTAAGCACATAAGACACACAAAAGAGTATCTGGATTTTGGGGACGGGGAAAGAAGGCTTCAGTTCTGCAGTGCAAAATGTCTCAATCAGTACAAAATGGACATTTTCTACAAAGAGACACAGGCCAATCTTCCAGCTGGACTGTGCAGTACATTACATCCTCCAGTTGAAAATAAAGCAGAAGGCACTGGAGTACAGCTGCTGACTCCAGATTCTTGGAATATACCGCTAGCAGATGCTCGGAGAAAAGCTCCATCCCCAGCGTCTGCAGCTGGCCAAATTCAAGGTCCTGGACCATCAGCGTCTACCACTGCCTCTCCGTCTGACACTGCCAACTGCTCTGTCACTAAAATCCCCACGCCAGTTCCCAAACCTATTCCCATCAGTGAGAATCCAAATATTCCACCAGTTTCTGTCCAGCCACCTGCTAGCATTGTGCCTCCAATTGGTGTCCCACCTCGCAGTCCTCCCATGGTAATGACAAACCGTGGGCCAGTTCCGCTGCCCATATTCATGGAACAGCAAATTATGCAGCAAATCCGTCCGCCGTTTATTCGTGGGCCGCCTCACCATGCCTCAAATCCTAACAGCCCTCTGTCAAATCCAATGATCCCTGGAATCGGTCCACCACCAGGTGGCCCTAGAAATATGGGTCCCACCTCCAGCCCCATGCACAGGCCAATGCTTTCCCCTCACATCCACCCCCCCACGACACCGACCATGCCTGGGAACCCTCCAGGCTTGCTGCCGCCCCCTCCTCCTGGAGCCCCTTTGCCCAGTCTTCCCTTTCCCCCTGTCAGCATGATGCCAAATGGTCCTATGCCTATGCCACAGATGATGAACTTTGGGCTGCCATCCCTTGCCCCGCTGGTGCCACCCCCAACTCTACTAGTGCCATATCCTGTCATTGTCCCTTTGCCCGTCCCCATTCCCATTCCCATCCCTATCCCTCACATCAACGATTCCAAGCCCCCCAGCGGTTTCTCCAGCAACGGCGAAAACTTCATTCCGAGTAACTCCAGCGAGACGCCTGGAGCAAAGCCACCCAATAGCTCTTCGTCCCCTCGAGAGTCAAAACAAGGATCGTCCAAACCCTCCGACTCCTCTCCGAGCTGCTCAGGCCAGTCCCTAAATCAAGCTCAAGTGCTTCAGGAGCACGGTAAAAATGAAGTTGTTGACTTGACTGTCAGACCTAGTAGTCCTGTGAACAGTAAGTTTGGTTTCCCCAGTGTGCTACAGGGTCCGCAGGATGGTGTGATCGACCTAACGGTGGGCCACCGGTCTAGGCTGCACAATGTCATCCACAGGGCTCTACATGCCCAAGTGAAAGTCGAGCGTGAGCCTAGCAGTGTTGTAAATTTGGCTTTCGGTAGCTCAGACAAAAGGAACTGCAGCGACTGCAGGGACAATTGCAGCCCAATTGACTCAAAAACATTACCATGCGGTGACGCAGCCCACTGCTGCCCTGTCTCCTTGGCCTCCGGCACACCGGGACTGGAAGCCGGAGCAGCTGTGTGCAATGTCATTGTGAATGGCACAAAGAGCACAGAGGGTTCCAAGAACCCGGAGCCACCCCAGGACCTGAAAAAGCCACAGCCCCCAGAGGAGTTGGCGGTGAGCGAGCTGGAGTCTGTGAAGGAGAATAACTGCGCATCGAACTGCCACCTCGAGGGAGACGCTGGCAAGAAGGCTGGGGAAGAGCCCCTTGCCGGAGGAGACAAGCAGGACCCCAACCTCAACAATCCAGCAGACGAGGACCATGCATATGCTTTGCGGATGCTGCCCAAGACAGGTTGCGTGATCCAGCCTGTGCCAAAACCAGCAGAAAAGACTGCTATCGCGCCGTGTATTATGTCAACGCCAATCCTCAGCACAGGGCCAGAGGATCTGGAGCCACCATTGAAAAGGAGGTGTCTCCGAATTCGAAATCAGAATAAGTAAAGGTTTGTGTAATCACTACTGCCTTCTGTGTGAGTAGAATGGTTATTTTCAGGTATGAGGTCAAATGTGAATGTGGCCTTTTTCAAACAGAAAGACTCCAATTTATCAGCACTTTTAGAAAAGTATTGGTATTTATGTTTTAATAATGTTCTTTGTGTTGCACTGCATTTGTTCTTGTCAGTATTCCATCTATCTGCAGCCTCATTACACTTTTGCTCACAGAACATTTTGTGATGGTGCTGGCTGTGTGTTGCGTATGTCAAATTCAGTGGTTTTCTGCCTAGGATATGGCTTAGGTCTGGGCCATTAATCTGCTTACTTATTCCAGCTGAGTTACGCAGCAACTCAAGCCTTCATGATGATGATTGAAATTGCCCTACAGCGTAGCATAGAGCAGGATTACCCAGCTGCTTACAGTTAGCTTGGATCCAGTTGACTTACCAAATGGTCATCTCCAGCCATCTTGCTTTGGTCTGCCTCCAGACCGTACTCTCGCTTCCAGCCAAGATGCTCTCCAGGGCTGAGTCCCCCTTGTTGAGCCTTCCTTCCCCAGGTGTCAGCATGTAGGGACTATCAGCTGTTGGACCTGCCCACTGTGGCTTAGTTCAAGGGGCACTCAGTAGGCAGCAGCTGTAGGTCTTGCTGTGGGGCTTTGCTCTCTTACCTGAGGCACTTGTCTTTGGCAGTTGAGATTTCCCTCAGCCCTGCAGTTGCTATAGGTGTGTGGTTAATGAGAGACCTGTAAAACGAGGCAGCAGGTTGGATAAATCTACCAACAGCTGTGGCTTGGCCAAGGACCTGGCTTGGCCAACGTTTCTGTTAGAGAGACAGAATCATCCCCCACTCTTTACTCCTTATTCCCAACTTCCTGATCCCACTGATAAAACAGCACCTTTACAAAACTGTTAGTTTAATATGTGTCTGTTGATTCAAACTTATGAGCAAGAAACAAATGTATTTGTTTAGATTCACAAGCATGGAGAGCTTCTTTCAGGAAAAAGGAAAATGGTAGGTGTTAGAAGAAATCTGTTCAGCAGCAAGATACTGATGTTTTGCTGGATGTGGCTTGGTGAGATGCCAGATTTCATTATAATCCATGGAATACTCTGTAGCCTCCAGTAAATCCCTGTCCCTGGTAGCACAAATGCTGACTGCAGCAGTGCAAGATGAACATTACCTTGAGCAGCTTGGCATCTACAGCCATGGATAGTGCATTGCAGTATCTCCCTGCTCCACCAGTGCAGGCTAATCGCACCATCAAAGATTCCACAGTGTAGCCAGGACTCCCTTGTATTTGTTCCTGTCGCGTTCCCTATCCTGGCTGCCCTGCTGAAATGTTACTTCCTTTGATCACATGCAATATTTATTTGTTTTCTTTGGTGGAACAGAACTGTAATTCTTTGCTTTAGGCATGTACTGACACATTTAAAAGACACATTTGCAAGAACAAAGGATACCTGTAACTTTCTTGGGCTAATAATATATACAATAACTCAGAACTCAAATGTATATTTAAAACTTTTACACTCTCCTAAGCACTGCTGAGGGGATTTCCCTAAGCTCCCCCTGGAATGGATGGACTGTATGTCCATCTGCTCTATTATTTGGTTATTTAAGCAGCAAGATCTTTTTTGCACAGCCCAGTGTCCCACCTTTGGAGCTTGAAAATTTGTCTCTGCATAAATGTACGTATGCTTTTAGTTAAGGGTAGGGACTGGATCAAATGAGAAGCCCACTGTTTGACTGAATGCCTTCTATTTAATTTTAGGACAATGATGGTTAACACAACAACTCTCACCTTGTTCCATCTCCCCATAGCTGTGCTTTGTTTCAATCCAGTGCTAAAAGGCTTGTGCACTTGTGTGCTGATGCTGTAGTCTTACAGGCTGTTTCTTAGCATGCATTGATTTCCATGTGCACATAGCTTACCCGGACCACCCAGGCTGCATTAATGCCACCTCTTTGATGTCTCCGCCCTGGAAGAGCTTTAGCATCATCCAGAGCCACAGCCTTTAAACTCAGGGAGAGTTCTGGCTTCACTGAGTTGTGTATTTTACCTGTGACATGATAATGCGTGACATCGAGGATGGTGTTTGACAGAGGGAGTGGGCAAACAGTACAGTCTGCACTGAAAAGAGAGATGCTTTTCCACTCAGTTATTATTCTCAGCTGTTTATATCTCTAAATGTCAACAGTTAACACTTTGGCTATCCTCAGGAATAACCATATTCCCATTCACCAAGTTTTACACAGTCCTTTGTCTCAATGGAAGGACTTTCTTACAGGAAAGTTCTCAGCCAGGCAAACCTAAGCTGACCCTGTGTAGACATCAGTAATGAAGACGCAGCTGATCTCATTGTCTGAACCCTCTTTTAAACCAGACTAGAGAAACAGGCTCTTCAGAGAGATAGTTGAGCTCATCCTGAATCGACAGTGAAGACAGCTGAGATGAATTGTGCCCTAGGAGCACCTATTTCTCTCTGCTGTGAAGGAAACTGAGGGTGACTGGAGCAGGCCTCAACATCCCCATACACACTGAAATTTAAGGGAGACAAAGCCCAGCCTAGTAGTCATGCTGCTGGGACTTCATGCAGTAGCTGTGCTTGTCCCTCCTTTCTTCACAAAAAAAAAGGAAAAGTAGCCTCTATGCAGACATGTGAGACCAGGATCTTTGTGCGTTTCAAGGGAAAGAGGATACCCCAAATGTGCTGCAGAAATAAACAGTTTGATAACCATCTCATTCCAGCGGGTACCTTAGTGAAATGTGGGTGGGTTTTGAGTCTCTCAAGGCACGCACAAGTGATTTGTGTAGGCCCGATGATTGATTTGAGGCGAGGACTCTTCGGTTTCATGCAGAGCCCTCCTTTCACTTAGTGCTGGTAACAGCCACTCCACAGGGGCTGCTGGGACCTGTTTTTCTGTATTACATATTTCTCTTCAAGGTCTTTAAGGTCTGCCAGGGCTGTGCAGGATTCAGAGTGGGGACAAATGTTGGGCACAGTGTTGCTTCAAGCTGTACCACAGACTGGACCTCCACCATTTCCATGGCTTCTCTGCCCAGGTCTTGAGAAGAGTGGAGAGAAAAGCTTGCTCTATCAGCAACACTGCTGTGGGGAATATCCCACACCAGAACCTCCCAGCCTGACAAAAATTCTAACAAAAAACAGAGTAGGTTCTGTATTATTAATTGTACTGACTGGGACCCTTAGCGTTTTTCACTGCACTGGTCATGCTGACCCAAGTGAAGAAAATGTCCAGAGAGTTGTCTTTTTTTCTCCTGATCCCATCCCCCAGCAGGAAAATCTGAACACATTGCCATAGTGTGCAGCTTTTCCTGGATTTTATTTCCCATCAAATTGTATGAAATGAAGGAAATTAGCCAAATATTTTTACGCTAGAATTCTGGACAAACAGATTGAATTCATGTAATGGCAACATGGACTCTCTAAAAAGGAATCAATGCAAGCGTGACCTTTTCAGGCAAGTTGCCAAACTCCAGATTATTTAATGTACCAATTACTTGATTATTGGAAGTGCTAATCAGCAACATAATCCTTGATGTTAAAGTTTAGTCTCTCCATCAGGATGTGGACTGTCAAGCTGTTCTATTTTGATGCAATTAAAAGAAGCGGTAAAAGATGTCCTAGTGCCAAAGGCCTACTATGATAAAGCAATGAAGCGAGTAAGACTGTTAAGTGCAGTTTTGTTGAGTTTGAGCAGCAGGAGTTTTTAAATTAGTGTTGCCTGCCTGCATTCTCTACGTGCAGGCAGGATCAGCTTTAACCCCACAGTTTTGGTGCAGGATATGGTTTTCTAAGGAAAAATGATAACTCTAAAGACTGCTTGACTTTAACATAATGGTACTGGTAAAGTGAATGGAAAATGAAATTGCACAGGCTAAAGTCAAAACTAGTTTCTTTGCGTGTGCATATGTGTTCGTGTTTGTGAACTTGTCCTAAGTTGGGGGCAGAGGGATAAAGAAAGGAAGGAGTTTTTCTGCTTGTGTAAGCAGAATTTCTCCCAGAAGTAATGGAAATAGTAAGAGTGTGGCCACCTACTGAGCCAACCCATATGTCCTGGGGTCAGCATCTGATGAGTTATAGGCCCAAATTTCTAGCTGTCTAGTCCATACATTGTAGTCATAAAAGTGTACAGTGAACAGAGTGCTGCAGTTTAGGCTAGAAGTAATATATATCCCACTGTGAGCTCCCCTGCCCATAATGGTCCAGCACAAGATTTCCTTCTCTGGTCAGGATTTCTAAGGCAAGAGCCATAGTTCTTAACCTCCCTTTCTGCCTTAAGAATTTTTATAGCTCACCTATCACTGTAGCATCTATCTACAGCATCATAGCCTGCTCTCATTGCTCTGACCAGGTTAGAAGTTGACATTAAAGGTATATTTCAAAACAGATTTTGTATATTTACACACATTTTTATGCCAGTCATCTTTGTTGATGCGCTACTATGGGCCAGAGCCTTAGCTAATTTTAATTGGATATAGTTCTACTGGTGCTAAATTAATTTAAACCAACTAAGTAATTGAACTCATACACTTAACACCTACTCTTCTGGTTCAGAATTTTTCCTTCACCCTGCTTCTTATGAGCCTACAGAATATTTCCATTTATTCTAAGGGTGAGAGGAAAGACTGTTAACACCACATATCCTTAAACACATTTGCTTGGAACTGATGCTTTGCCTTTGAGAGCTTCCTGGCTCAAGCAGTGTGATCTTACATTTAAAAATTGCCTGAGTAGCTTTTCAGATATATTAAGTCAGAAAAAGGGGTTTTGGAATGGAATGGAATGGAATGGAATGGAATGGAATGGAATGGAATAGAATAGAATAGAATAGAATAGAATAGAATAGAATAGAATAGAATAGAATAGAATAGAATAGAATAGAATAGAATAGAATAGAATAGAATAGAATAGAATAGAATAGAATAGAATAGAATAAGGGAAGGGAAGGGAAGGGAAGGGAAGGGAAGGGAAGGGAAGGG